TGCATAGATCTCGAAAAGTGAACATGTAGTTTCCTAAGTAGTTAGTTAGCTGTTCCATAAAAAGTATGGAAAACTTCTGCAACCCTAGAGCATGCTGTCTATATGTATAGTTTAGAAAGTCAGAGATAGGAAATCTCCCCCTAAAATTCTATTTGATAAAGTTGAAGGTATCTCAAGTTCAAGTTTCATTTTTTTATGAACACAGAGAAGAACGGGGAGCCAATCATCAGATCGTGATGTTGTTTCGTAAAGGACTAATAGATTAGTGGATTTTCAAAGAGCTATTCTTTTTGTTGAAGTTGAAGGGTACGTAGACGAAAGGATCTTCCAAGTATATTTGTTTCATTAGTCATTTGCAAAAGAGCACTACTCAAATTTTGTATTAGTCTATTTATTTTGCAAAATTGCCACATATGACCGTGTACAAATAGAAATTGTCTAATTATATCCTTTTAAAATTTTTATTACAGACATTACGGATTTCCTTAAAAAAATCTTCAATAATTAGAAATCCTTTTTATTTTCTTTAATTTGTAATTTTTATTTTGCTATAAATAACTTTTCACCTCACTTCATTCGATAATTTTATTGCAATAAAAATATCATTTAATTTTCTGAGAAAGATACAACGATCAATTTACAAAATTTAAAAAAAACAAATCAAATTCTAATTCTTTCTTAAAAGGATCAATTAATTATGACTGTAGTCTAGATCAGATACTTTTATTTAAAGAAAGGAAATGGCATAGGTCTGAAATGTCAGAAATGTGAAATCTACTATTGAAGTACAGTAGTAATTCTTTAGAACCAGACGCACATGCAAAAATGAAATAAGTTAATTCATGTAAGTAAAGTTTTATGACTTTCAAGATATTCAACCTTTTGTTTACGTAAAGCTTTTGCAAAAATAAAGAATCACGCTCAATTGATTATATTGAACCCTTTATTAAGCTATTATTATTTTTCTATAGTCTGTATACCTATGATAAAAAACTTAAAAAAAGAAAAGAGTAGTGGATGCTTTGGCTTCGACACTGGATGACATATTATTAAGTGTAAATATTATCAGGTTATTCTAATTTTACAATAATTAATCTAATTAATAATTTTATTATTTGAGTTTCAATATTTGAGGACATTTTGGCAGCCGAAAATACAAGAACTCACAAATTAATCAGAGACCAAAAAATGCTTGTCAGATATATAAAATACTAAATTGCATCAAAAAAGCTAAATCAAATTTTATCTGAAATAATAGTGAAAGCTTCTGATAACAATTTTAAAACAAGAATGTAAGTCATTTGTGTGAAGGCGTGAGTACTTTCTTAGAAGGGCTTGATGATATATAAAAAGGCGAAAGTCAAAAATATTATGCAAAGGCCAAAGTTAAAGTAATATTTCTGTTGCGAACAAACATCAAAGCATAGGAAATCTGTGGCAAAAAAGAAGCTATACTTCATATTTTCGGAGTAGACATGTTAGAATAGTTTCAATCATATTGCTTTTTTTTGAATAGATATGCATTTAAGGAGGTAGCTCCTGTTGGAATCCATCCAGCAGCAAAGTCTGAAAGTCCTTCAAAAAATAATGCTATTACTTCTTTCCAAAGAAGAATGGAAAGAATTTATCAAAACAAGTTAACTAGCGAAATTGTTTGATTCCAATTTACTGAATTGATTTTCAAAAATCAGACTGTCTTTCCGAAGAGTTGGTTTTCCTTATTTTTATATAAACAAAGAAAATGGACAATTCTTTGATAATATTACTATTACCGACATTAGGACTATAATTGAGATATTTAGTTTTCAATTTTGTTAAAATCTCAGACCAGTTTGTGTGAAAAGAATTGAAATTGCGTTTTGGAGGATAAGTGATTTAACAACTTGGAATTATGCTGAATTTTTAATATTTTATCTTTATATTAGCCATTGAGAAGTTGGATCCGTCTAAAGTTTTTATCGAGTTTCTTTCTATTAAATCTGTATGTGAAAGAAAGCAAATTTCAAATTATATTTTAAAATACATGTTAACCAATGTTTCAATTTTAGAATTCATCAAAATCATTAAATATAATGGAGAAACCTTTTCAAAAGGCTCCATCATTTGGAAAACTAATTTATTTAGGAAGCTGTAAAAATAATAAGTTACCATTACGGTTCAACCAATTTTTCTTGTAAACAAGTTCGAAATGATGAAGTTATGAAAAGCAGTATCAACTTGTTTAAAAAAAGGGCCAGATATGATAACAATATGTGAGTATTTGAAAGGTGCACTAAATCAGCCGTTTGATCAAACAGCACTGATTTGAGAAAGGATGTGACTTGCTGCGCTATCAGGTAACAATGCTAATGATTTAGAAAAGATAAATGAAGAGCCAACAAAAATGCCACTAGGAGATCACTAGCTAATTTAACTTTAATAAACTTTCTGCAACATTAGCAAATCTATTACCCACAGAAAATCCTAATACATCGAAAACACCTATAAATGGACCACCTTCTTTATTAGCAGCACAACATATTAATATTATTATAGGCTTCAGTCACCTTCTTATAGAGGTGGCATTTCAAGTGATATTGGTAGAGGTGTACCACTTCCGTCAAGATTATACTTTCTCGAATTCGTTCTAATATGAATGGTGCAAATGAGCAAATTCATACAGTATTTAATAGTTCCATTGTAAGAAAGATTTGTGAAGTATATAAGTTGATAATTTAAAACATTTTCTATCAGATAATATCAAAATAAATTTGATCGAACATCTGAGCGTTGTTCTATTTGTATAGTTGATATTATCATTATTAAAATTATGGGTACAGAGTTGTAACAAAGTATTGAGGCATTAGACAAACATTTAATCACTTCTTCTGAATCCATTATTCCTAATGTAAATGATTTAGCATTCCAAGTTTGACTTTCTTAAACTCAGCTTCAACTACAATCATAGAGTTAGATTTGACTATGTAAATCAACTTATCTACTTTTATTTTTAAATAAGAATTAGTCACTAGTAGTTTTACAAAGTTCTCTTTATCTTTTATTATCTGATCTAGCATATCATTCTTTAGATTCTGACTTACTTTAACTAATGAAAATATGGCTAACACATCATGAATTTAACAAGAAATAATATATTAAGAAGAGCAGATGGGATTGTCAATAGAAAAGGAGAAATTTTGAGTAATTTTAGTTATTAAGCTAGTTTTGTTTACATGATCATGATCAACAAAGTGAACCAATAAAAAATTTTTGACTAAAAAGTGGATTTCTCCCTATTGACCACCTTCCAGATGTAGATTAAATAATTGAAAGACTTTAATATAATTGTGCTTAATTAGCAGATGAGTTAAACTATTTTTTTCATGATTTGCAAAAAAAAATTCCAATTGAAGCCATCTTAAATGTATCTGATATAATTAATCTAATATGTGAAGAGATATGTGACAAAAATGATGAATTTGATGATTTTGAAGAAGAATTAATATAAGTAACATTGGATGATACACTCAAATCCTTGCAAAATTGGATCACCATTTATGAAAATAGCAAACAAATAAATTCAGCATGGTTAATATAAAAATCTTTAAAATACTTTAATATAGTTAAGCGACTTGAATTGTAATCTCAAAAATAAGTTTGGTTACTGAATTAATTAATTTCATAAAAATTAAGAAGAATTATTATAAGAACTGAAAAATATTATATGATATAATATTTTTTTTAATAAAATCTAATTTTTGGATTAAAGTATTATTGATAGAATTAAATAAGTTGTACAGAGTTATATAAATTAAATCGAGTTTAATTAAATCACATCTACTAAAAATCCTAAAAAAATTTATTTAACTGAATTATAAACTTCTAGTTAGCTACTACATGTAATTTTAATATAATAGTAATTATACAGAGGTTTTATTATTATAGATATACCTTTGTAAAATCTCAAATTTTTAAGAAACTGATTGAAAGTCTGACTAATAATTATTTTAGCAAAAAATTCTTCATTATAATTATAAAGAATTTTTTACATTATACTTGTAACATTATGTGTCATTATTTAGAATTAGTTATGTGATACCAATTGATAATTTATTTAAATTGTAAATTTATTTATAAAATAATAAGAAAAAAATATTAATTAGTAATTAGTATAAAGATATGCCTCAGTGAAATCTGTTTAATCTGTCATCTGATCTGATCAAATATAGATTATCTAGATTATGAATAAATGGATCATGAATAATATAGATAGATCTATTAGATAATATTAAATTGATTAGATGTTATATAAATAATCAGATTAATAAGATAATCTGATCATTTTATGATATTGATTTTTTTTTTAAAAAAAAAACTTACCTTTTTTTCTTTAAAAACAGACATAAATATAGACTTAGACTTTAGAATTTACTTAGATAACTTGAATTGAAAAATATGTTGAAATAGGAATAAATTCAATTTATTTAGAATATTACTAATATTCCTTTTCTTTATTTTCTTTAGAAAATGCTAACCTATACCTAAATTTCAGTTTGGATTATAAAGATAAGTTAAAAAGAATATTAACATTCCTTTTACTTTTTTTCTTTAGAAATCACCTATTTGAACTTGAATTATGAAGGTAAGTTAATGTAAAAGATTGTTTTTATTTTTTCTTTATCATTAAAAATATCATTAACATTCGATTTACTTTTTTTTTAAGAGATACCTTCTTAGACCTAAATTTTAGCTTGAGCTATAAAGGTAAATTAGGTGTAGATTTTTTTTTGTTTTTTTTTTAACTTTGAAATGTATTAATATTCCATTTGCTTCTTTTCTTTAAAAAATGCTTTTCTGGACCTGGATTTTACTTGAATCATAAAGGTAAGTTAGGTGTAGTTTTTTTGTTATTTCTTAATCTTTGAAATACTATTAACATTTCTTTTACTTCTTTTCTTGTAAGTTTATTTTGTTTTTTTTTTGTTTTTAAAATGCTATTAATATTTCTTTTGTTTTTTTTCTTTAAGAAATATCTTTCTAGATCTGGATTTTAGCTTAAGCTATTAAAATAAGTTAGTATAGAAGATTGTTTTTGTTTTTTTTTTAGTCTTTAAAACATTATTAATGTTTCTTTCTTTAGGAAATACTACTCAACCTGAATTTCAGCTTGAATTATAAAGGTAAATTATTATAATGAGAACTTTATTTCTTTTTTATTTTAAAATATCATTAATGTTTTTTTTTGCTTATTTTCTTTAAGGATACTTTTCTAGACCTGAATTTTACTTAGATTAAGAAAGGTAAGTTAGGCGAATATTTTTTATTTTTCATTTATTTGTCTTTAAAAATCATTTACATTTCTTTTCTTTTTTTCTTTGAAATATTTTTCTAAAATTGGATTTTAACTTAAATTTTGTATTTTATAATGAAAAGAAAATTTTTATTTATTTATTTTTTATTTAGAATATTTACTTATTTTTTTAAAAAATAGAAATCTTTAAAATTATGAGTTTAAATTTACAATAAGTTTTATAATTTTAATAAAATAACAATTTATTTATAATAAATTATATAAATGATTAATATAAATAATTATTCATAAATTCTTTTAACTTTAATTGTATTTTTCAAAAAATATTATATATTGAAAGTGTTCTGAATTCATTTTAGATTTTTTGTTGAAAGTATCAGAAAATAACTTTTTTGATGATATTGATATTGCAAAAATAATTAAATGAATTTTTATTATTTTAGCAAGAATTAGATACTTATTTTTATTATTTAATTACTTATTTAATGGGTATTAATTTAAATATTCTTTAACTTTATCAGATGCTTTTGGTTGATTTTATTTAAATATTAAAAAGTCTAGATTTATAAATTGGGTTTAAGATTATTGATGATTCAGATGGAATTAGAGATGAGGATTAAGATTTATTAAGATTTGGTAAATAATTTTTCTTATATTCATATTTTTTACATAAAATTTTTTCTTCTGTTTTATTATTCATAAACTTAATTTTGAAATTAAATATTATTGATATTAAATAATCTTCAGATAAAATTTTTCAATAAAAATACATGGTATTATAAAGAATTATTCTTATTTTATCTAAAAGATCTTTAATTTTTAATAGTTTATTCAAATTAAATTTGTTTTTTTTTTGTTTAATTATTATTATTTTTAATAACATTATTTTCTAATGTTTCTACATTTTTTATTGTAATAAGTATATTAACAGAATAGCATTTTCAATTTTTAATATATTTCTAATATGTTAAAAGCTATTAAAGGTAATGTAAGTAATATAGATATTATAGATAATATAGATATAGATGAACTAGTTAATTTAGATAATAGTAAAAGTAATAAATATTTAATTTGTTTAATTATTAAATTCATAATACTATGTGTAATATATTTTTTTCACTAAAATAACTAATTACTTCTTCAAATAGATTAACTAATTCTTATAAAAGTTTCTATTAATCAAAACTTAACATAATTTTTTAAATTACTTTCCATTTTTATTGCATTAGTATTTTAATTATTTACTAATTCTGCCATTAGAATTTAAATATAATATTTGATTTTAATTAACCTATTCTAACTATAATAACTTGAATTCTATTTGATTAAAATATTACAATCGATTGAAAGAAATATTTTTACTAGTTTTACCAGCATTGTAAATATTATAAAAATTATTATATAAATATAAAAATAATTTAAATAATTAATAAACATAAATTATAAAATTAAAATCTTTATCGTATTAACTTTATTTTGTGAATTTTTTTTGAATTTTCTCTAATCTTTGACTTTATTTTGATCTTAAAAAAAAACAATCAGTTTTTTTTGCTCTTAAAAACTAATAGTTTAACAGAATTTAATTCTTTCCTACTATTAAGTATAATATATATACAATACATAATTGCTACTTTATATTTTTTTTATTGATTTTTTCATATTTGCTTATTATTAGTTATTATTATATTTGTTATATTTTTTAAATCTCACTATCTAAAATAACAAATAATGCATCAGATATATTCTGTGTATTATAAAGATATTTAATATGTTCAATTATAAGAATAATTTCATAAATAGTAAAATTTTTATCTAAAAAAATATAAGTAACGTCAAAAAATCCCAATCTATTTTTACCAATCTATATATAATAGTTAAACTAACTGGAATTGCGTTATTATTTTTAATAAATTTTTGAATTAAGTGAAGTGTATAATTAAATGTTATGAATGGTTTGCTTAATTAATTTAATATTTGAAATGTTAAATGCTGATTCAAGTTCTTTTATAAATTTTTAAAAAAATTCTGATTGTATAATCTTTAAAAGTTGAGTATCAAAAACTAAATTACAAAATTTAATTTGACAAGACTTCTTATAGGTATAACTTCTTACTTATAATATTCTTGAGTCTAAAAATATATTAAGTAATTAAATAAAACTAAATTATTAAATTTAAATAAACAAATTATTATATGTTTAATTTATTTCTTATCACATAGTTTTGCTTAATTGTTTTTTTAGTTATTTTATGCTTACTATTTAAATGGTTATTAAGATGCTTGTTAAACTTCTATACTGATATTTTTTTATTAAATATTTTATTTGTGATAATTTCTACT